TTTAAATCAATTTTTTTCTCTTTTAGACTGTAAATTTCATAAGGGTAATGGCACATGTGTTCTTAAATACTAAATATCCATCTTAGTTCAGCGCATGACAAGTAATCTGTAGATGTTCCATAAAGAGATGTTGGATTGAATCTAAATTCTTTGAATTCTACAGTTCGTGTTTCTCATTGCCTTCTCTCTCATTTTGCATTAGGGTACACTGCTTTGTCTTGGTAGTTGCCATTTTGGATTGTGTACTGCATTAATCATCTTAAATATACCACACTCTATAACCCTAGAGTTTGGGAATTACGTGCATTTGTATACCTTTAGCAACTAGGATAGTGGCTGGTATGTAATAAGTACTAAATAAACCTTGATAGGTTGACTAGTTAATTCAGGGGACAGTGTAAGTCTCTTGTCCCTCGTGAAGTTTTCCTTTGCCATGGCCCATATTAAGCTTCTCTCTCATTCCTTCCTAGCAGTTATTGTCCCTCCAGCTCATATTTGTAGAAGTTGTTTCATACGTGTGTCAAGTTTCTTCTATTGAGCTTGTGAACTCTTGAAGGGTGAAAATCTGTGTTTAATGTTTTTTGCTGTCCAAATAGGTAAGGACATAATAGAAATTAAGTTTAAATGGAAAGAAGCTGAACTGGTCATACTACATTTCACTTTATTAACATTTATCATACATGGTTACTATTCCAATCTTTTATGCAGACAAAAATAAATGATATAAAATACATAATGCACTTTGATAATTTTAACCATACATAAAATATGGAGTCATGGACGCTATGTTACATGGATACTTTACAAAGGAAAAACGATGACTTTTATAATAACACATCCAGATGAAATTTATCATTAAATTTTGGATTTCATATGATGTTAAATATGGATATATTCAAAACAATTATTATTTATAGAACCAATTTGATATTTTGTCATTTAAAATAATGAATACTATGTAAATGAGTACTTATAAAAATATTTTTAGGCAAAAAGCTCTGTTCTACTCATTTACTTGGCAGTTACAAAAATATATATTCATCTGAAACTCTAATAAATTTACTTGAAGCATTAGATATTCAAATTCAGATGTATATTTTCTAAAGCATTTTACCAATTTAGTGTTCTTGGCTACACACAGTATATTTGTACACATGATATTAGGTTTGTGTTACAAATAATGCCATTTTAAGCAAAAGACACAGATAATCAATAACACACAGAGACACCATGAAGGTTTTCAAATCAAACATATCCACACATATACCAGCCCCAACGATTGTGCCTTGCACTTAGTGAATCCTCAAAAACATTTATCGAATGAATGCTTGATCAGATAGCATTTATCCTGTTATTTGCACCTAAAATTAACTCTCCAAAGCTATTTCTAGTAGAAATATAATTTTGAAATTTAACAATTTTGTTCTTAATTAGCTATTTCTCAATGGCAGAGCCAGGCCAGTTGATTCCAGATTGAAGAGCAAAGTAGTGTCAGTGATCAAAAGACCAGGTATATTTACGCATGGTTGGACAGCTCTGATGCCTACAGTAAGACATTCATTCAATACATTGAACAACTCGATTTGTCGTACGTTCATACAAAACAATCTTATTAATTTTTATAACATTATCACAAAACTAGTAAGTATAACAATATATATAGGCATAAACATACACATATATATCTCATTTAGTAGACTTAGTAGACTTCAGATATCTCTTCTCAGTGAGAGGAGCAAGCTATCCTGAGTGAAGCAGGCCTTGTGTCTATATAACAATTGCTCAATGATGCATAGACCACACTTTAACAGTCTTCCACGTATGACCAGCAGATGGTTGGCAATATGAATGCTGGCAACACTGTTAATGCCAAGCCTTTGAAGCAGTAACATTTTTGTGAAACCAAAGACTAACTGTAATGACTAGTATGGAGTTGTAGCACCTAGCAAGATAATGGTCAATATTTGTTCAATGGAATATCCTGGGGCCATTTTTGGTACAGACCCTTCTTGCAATTTTCCCCCACCTGTTCTGCTTCATGCAGGGTGAAACTTTGCTGAGACTCATCACTAAAAGTTTAAACATTCGACAGAAGACAGATTATTTTTCTCAATCAAAATTCAGATCACTTTAAGTCATTTCAAAGCTTGGCTCTAGTACTTAAGCAAGACAACCGACAATTCATTTAGCAAATTGGTTAGTATGTATATGTGTTAATGAAATTACTGCTATGAGAGAGTTCTTAAGCGATAATTTAGTAAGATAATTCACATAACAATGTCTTTAAAAATTAAACATAGTTTCCAAAAATTCACAAGCAATTTAGTCAAATATTAAATGTTAGTTTCAATACCACTAGCACATAAAGTCTAAAAATGACCTTTAAACTAAAATGTAAAGTAAAAATGACCTTAAAGTGAGACTATTCATTTTAAATTTCAATATTATGGCTTTTCAAAAGTATAAATGAATAAAAATATACCCACTGCTCTGCATTAAATCACGCTACACAGGAAAAGATCTGCTTGAACTAACATAATAATACTTTAGTATTTTAAATGCAAAGGTATTAGTTTCAAAACACAGAGTCATTTACTCTCAATTGAACGCTTCCAAATCAATAAATACTAATTTTATCTATAAAATGTACAAGCCCAAATGACTGAAGATAGTTTGTTTTGTTAAATTAATTAACATGACCCTTAGGCTTTGTTTACCCATTCATTTTCTTGGCTATCAAAGTTAGTGTCAAGGTCAATTTCATTTCATTCTGAATGTAATGATCCCAAAATTTAAATTAATAGATTCAGAACCAATGTCATTTCAATGTCATATATGTTATAGTATCATAAAAAGTTTACCTAATTTTAAATTGATTTAACATTTGCTGCAAAAAGGGTGGCCAATGAATGCACAGTGAATCCAAGCCACCAGAAGAATATGTTTTAAAGAGATAGAAAACAGTATGAGACTTCAGATTTGTGAATTGATAAAATAAAGCTTATACTATAAATTCAATATTATATATCCAATATAAGTAAAATTAGCACAGAAATTCTCTGCCCCTTTTCTCTCTTTAAATAGGAATGGAAATACATGTAAAATTCTAATCTTCTCAAATTTTTCATACTTTAATATCACATTAACTTTTGTAATATTTGGAATTAATATTAGAAAAAATTATAGGAGATAATAGAATGCTTAAGATGTATTGACTAAGAATTTTTAGTTCACAATTATTTTTGAGTCGGGCTCTAAGTTAAGATCCAAAATTTCTATGCATGACCTTCCCTTTTAGGTTGGGGGGATGGGGGTTGTCCATGCTCAGAACTTGGAAGAAGTTAGCAGGTTTTAGCAGTATTTCAAGGTGCACTGGTTACAGAGGAGCATGTAGCATTAAGGTAAACACGTCCTAAAACCTCAAGGCCTCTTCATACCCAATGTCACATGGAGGTACATATGGCATTGAAAAAATTGTCATTCTTCATTCATCCATTAGGTATTTTTTTTACTGTTACCACTGTGTTGGAATTATAATAAAGTATTATGCGATATACTATCTAAAACTGTTATTTTTGATGAGGAGGAATATGATACAAAATAGTTTTTCAGATTGCAACAGTGTTGAGTTACCTCAAAATGTGCATCCAGAGTTGTAAAATGTCCATCCAGAGTTGTAAAATGTCCAGGAAATCCTATAATTTTCATATAATTAAAGGATTTTAAATGTTTCCATTCACTGTTTTTTAATACAAGATGTATAATTTAATGACAACACATGCCACATAACTCCAAATTTACTTACAAATCATCGTAATATTACAATAGTTCTTATATTGATAAGGAAAAGCAGCATAATGCATTAAGAAGGCAGACTTCCTGGGTTCAAATTTTGGTTCTACCCCTTGTCAATCATGTGACTTTGTGCAAGTCATTGGGCTATTCTTTGCTTTGGTTCCTCAACTCTAAAAATGGGTGTGATCAAAAGAGTACCATGTCACATCATTATGAGGATTAAGTGAAGCAATAACAACAGAATACAGGCAAAGCAATTGGAGCTATTACTGGGTATATAGTAATCCCTTAATAAGTGTTAGCTACAATCTTTATTATGAGCAGAAGTTGTAGTGACTGATGTTAATATAAACCATTACTAATTTTTGAGCATTTAGTAAGTACCGAGCATGATAGACGATATGCTTATGTTTAACCCTAAAAATAATATGAAGCACATTCTATTATGAAGAAAGTAGATCCTTAAAAATATAAAATATGTTAGCTTATAAATACCATAATAGCTGATAATTTGCCCCATGAAATACGGCACAGTACAACTGAAATCATTTTAATGACCCTTTCATGCCTCTAATGAGGATTACTGCTTCCAGGACGGTGATGAGAAAACAGTCATGACAATATGAAAGGACTTGCTAGCTAATCAGCTGTGTTCACTCATTAGCCCTACGAATGTTAAATCCTTGGAAGTTATTAATGTAAAGGTATCTTTATTAAATTCAAAATGTTCAACTTTTTCTTGAAAACTCTGATGCTAGGTTCCTTGTTTTTCATTATATCTGGACTTCTCACAAAAGTCTCAAGAGCTTCTGTGCCAAATAACAATTATTATTACCTCACCTAGTAGTATACACATATTGCCTACACATGTAACATGGTATTTTTGTTATTCAATACATAACGGCTAATGATAAAGGTTTTTAATAATAGTTTGAAAACCATGATCAAATTTCATAAATTAAAATGTAATAACGGGCTGGAAGCAGTGGCTCATGTCTGTAATCCTAGCACTTTGGGAGGTTGAGGCGGGCGGATCACTTGACGTCAGGAGTTCAAGACCAGCCTGGCCAACACGGTGAAAACCCGTCTCTACTAAAAATACAAAAATTAGCCGAGCATGGTGGTGCATGTCTGTAGTCCCAGCTCTTGGGAGGCTGAGGCAGGAGAATGGCTTGAACCTGGGAGGTGGAGGTTGTAATGAGCCAAGATCGCACCACTGCACTCCAGTCTGGGTAACAGAGTGAGACTCAGCTTCAAAAAATTTTAAAAAAAATTAATAATGGTTTGCACATACTTTAGATGTGAAAAGCATTTCACATACTAAATTAGCGTAAGTCCATATAATTACCACAATCATGAATGTTTTGTTTGAAAATTATGGATTTAAAATAAGTATTACTGTATTTACTATGCTAAAAACAATGTTGTTGCATCAATGTGGAAATGATAAACATTACATACACTTTAGAATGAGGATAGAATATACCTTGTGCGTCCACAAATTATCAAGCTCCCTAACGGTCCTTTACAAGTACAAATAAAGCCTTATTTTCATATCTTATACATATATCTTGACCGAAAAAGTCTCATGATGTTGTATTCTTTGAAGAGTCTGACCTCTCATATGAGAGCCTTCATAAAATTAAGAGTTTTAGGTATCTAAGTTAAAGGTTTAGTTTTAAAATAGGCTTATTGTCCCCTTCTTCATCCTGGTTCCCCTCCCTGCACTTCTCTGATCCCCAGGGCCATTATGGCACAGCACCCAGTATACGTGGCCCAAGGAAGCCATGCCCATTGCAGACACCAAAAATAGCACTGATTTGCTAGAGCTGTCCACAAGAAAAAAGGATGCCCAAAGGCAGCTAGAAGAAAGTGAGTCTTGCTGGAGGCCTTAGTCAGCTCTCTTCTCCTCTAATAAGAAATAAGCCCTGAGGAGAAAGAGTAAAGCATGCTTTTCACACCTTTTACACATTAATGACTTTCACTCTTGCAAATGGGGGACTGAAAATCTATACCACACAGTCCATATTGTCCTTAACATTTTTCATGATTTGCAAAATGTCACCAGGTTTCTTCAATAATAGCCTTCTTCAAGAGGAACTCTCCATTATTACGTGTGTCCACTTGGAAAAGATGAAAAAAAAACGTAATAACACAATTTCAATGAATGGGAGAGGAGGCATGGTGGTTAATTTTTAAATCTCTAATATTTTTTTCTTTATGTTCCAGGGATGGATTTTACTCTAAAAGTGAATACTTAATGTCAATATAGAGAGACATCAGTTTGTGATGCTGAACTGTCTGATTGAACTTCTTTCCATTTCCAGCATAAATATCCAAGTATAAACTGAACACTACTTGTTTGCAATGGGGAGAAAGATTTACAGAAAAAAAAAAAAAAAAAAAAAGGAGCATTGATTTGTCTTCAGTGGAGAATGTTTAGCCAGCATGTAGTTTGTCTAGTCCAGCATTCAGGAGCTTCTGCCTGCCTGGTTTCTTGGGAATTCTTTTCATTCTTCTCCAGCTGGGGGAGGCGGCTCGCACAGCTTGTACAGCCTAGAAAAGGCATGGAAAAGTTTGACAGTGACTTAGTGTATTACCATTGCCTGAGGTGTCTTTATTGGTAGAACAAACACGTTGATGATAATTTCTTGTTTCATGAGTCATGATCAGATTGTCTATTTCACTAAAAATAACATATGAATTAGCAAACTCCAAAAATTAGATTCTATGGTTTAGAAAACACCAGTGCCCCTTTGCACATCTTCATGGCTGTGGATGAAGCAATGCTGAAGGTTTTAAACCTGCTCCTTTTTCTCCAATGCCAACCACCCAGGCTGTTCACCACACTCGTGGTAAAATCTGCTCTCTGGATTCCAGGAAATGATATTATTATGAAAATTACCATCATGTCTATCATGATTTTCTTGTAGCAAGATAGCACCTATCTCATAGGGATCTACTGATTTTCTGACTTGTTTTAGAAATGTGCTTCATTTTGTAGTATCCCCAGAGTGCCCGCAGTTGGCTGTGGATAGGCTGACATGGCAAGATTCCTGAGACCTAAATCTCAAAGGCACAATTGGCTAGAGTTTCCTAAGGACAAATTGCCCAGCTCTGCCCAGGGCCCACTCACCCGACTATGGGCTCTCCAAGTGGGTCAAGGAATCCACGTAAACCATGGAGATGCCTGGAAATGCTTCCCATTGCAGCCCGGGTCTAGTTGTTCAAGACTACGCAGCATGCAAGGAAAACTCAGGGGATTTAACTAGGGTCACACAAGTTCTGGTGCTTCGCGTTCTCCTGAGTGTTTAAATGATAACAGCAGAACCAAAGTAAAAGGGAACATAATAGCTGCCTGATAGCCCTAGTGATCTCAAGGCCATGCGCATTACTTACAGCATATCCTGAGAGACTGATTGGCTGAACTAAAATGCTGGATTGGACTAGGCCTGTTCTCTAAACAGCACCCATGGTCACACTGGTCCCACTGCAGAGCTTGGACTAATGATGTCAAAATATAAGGTGCAGATTTCCACTTGGCATCTTTTCATAACAGCACTCCAAACCCAGGACTACCTGTGGTGATTCAATCCCTTTTACCGACTAAATTGAAAACAACTTCAGTGAATTGTTGACCAATTTAGCAAATTATAAATTTCCTCTCCCTTTGACATTTAATCCCATGCTAATTATAGATCAAAGGAGAAGAATCAGCAAGATTTAATACTGAGTTATAACTCCTGGTTAACAAAATGAGCTTTCCTAGTATGAGAACATGTAGAAGAAGCTATTGACTTTGGAGGTTTGCAAAATGTATTTCAATTCTGGAAGGTGGTTTATGCTCTATATGTTATCTCCATGCAAGAGGCAAATACTGAAATAAAGACATCTCATATCAGAAAAGCTTATTTCATCCTTCCCAGAAAAAAGAATACATTAAATTGACCCGATGTACTTCAAAGGTTCTTTTGCAGCTGAAGAATATGGTGTTACTTCAAATTGCATTCCCAGGGCTGGGATAATGAAATAAGAAGGTTCTTTTTCTTCTTAATTTCCTTCCTCTTATTTCCCTAACAGTGCTACCTAATGATTGAAAAGGCACAGTGGGCTTAGTCACGTAGGACAGGAATGGGAAGATGGGTGGCGAAAGTCCTACCCCATGAGATCTGGGCTGAGCCATCACATTCCATTACCTTGCTCAGCACGTTTCCACGTAATGTAACTAATAGCACTGGGTAGACGAGTCTTTGAAATGTCTGCCTTGCAAATTGAAGAAAAGGCTACTCCCTGTGATCACCTAATGAAATAATAGCTCTGGGTATTGTGGAACTGGGCAGATTCAGCTTCTGTGAGGCTTCTTGGAAGTGACTCAGGGTTATTTGAGTTCAGACACATTTGTAATGGAAATTGCAGAGCTCTGGGAATTTAGAACAGGCAGATGAAGTTTCTAAGTGAAATGTAATAGGTAAGAGTTGGACTTTCATCCTGCACTGAAACATTTATTTTTTGGCAGATAAATTGTTGGGTAGTGTGAGGCCTTGGTCTGCCCATCATTTGGGGCCCTTTTGTACTCTCATTCCACCTATGCACATCAGTGGCCCTGCATGAAAACGGTTTGTTTTTGGCCTTCTTTCTCCTATTCTTGTTTGAGCTCAGGTAGCCCAAATTTCCTGCCCAAATGCAAATCTGCCAAGAGCAGAACTTTCCAACTTCATGCTATAGATGGTGCCTTTCACGTTTCTACATTGCAAAAATAAAAGCTACGTGAAAGGAGACCACAAAGTAAACGCCTCTTTCAAGGTTAAAGCATCAATCATGCTCTGTTCCAAGGCAATTCTCCCCATCTCACAAATGAGAAAAGTGAGTCTCAGAGAGGAAAAAAAAATCCCAACTAAATAAGGTCACATAGCCATTTATTTTTTATTTTTTCTTTCTTTTTCTTTCTTTCTTTCTTTTCTTTTTTTTTTTTTTAAGAGACAAGGTCTCAATCTGTCTCCCAGGCTGGAGTGCAGTGGTGTGACCATAGCTCACTGCAGCCTCAACCTCCAAGGCTCAAGCTATCTTTCCATCTCAGTCTCCTGAGTAGGTTGGACCACAGGCAGACAGCACCATGCCCGGCTATTTATTTATTTATTTTGAGACGGAGTCTCACTCTGTTGCCCAGGCTGGAGTGCAGTGGCGCGATCTTAGCTCACTGCAACCTCTGCCTTCTGCCTTCTGGGTTCAGGAGATTCTCCTCTCTTAGCCTCCCAAGTAGCTGGGACTACAGGTGCCTGCCACCATGCCTGGCTAATTTTTTTATATTTTTAGTAGAGATGGGGTTTCACCATGTTAGCCAGGATGGTCTTGATCTCCTGACTTCTTGATCCGCCTGCCTTGGCCTCCCAAAGTGCTGGGATTGCAAGCATGAGCCACTGTACCCTGCTATTTTTTATTTTTTATTTTATGTAAAGACAGGTCTTGCTTTGTTGTCCAGGCTGGTCTTGAACTCCCAGTCTCAAGCAATTCTCTCACCTCAGCCTCCCAAAGTGCAGGGACTACACATATGAACCACCATGCTTGACCCATTTTTTTTCACTTTTAACCACTATAGAATGCCCCCTCCTGATTAAACAAGTAAAGAAAATCAGGTTTTCATAGCACAAGAGTTCCAGATTTTGTGACATAGCAGAGAACAAAGCCAGTGTGCTGGATGTGCAGTCCGACATCTGGAATGTAATATTTGGTTCTTGAGGAATAGAAGCTTATTGCCCTGAAGAGTCAATGTATGAAGCTGGGAGGGGAGAGGTCCTTTGTACTCCCTCCTCACATACCCCTTCTATCCTATCACAATACCCATTCACCTGATTCTCTAAATGTATTTTGTCTTTGTATTCTACTAGGCTGCATGCTCTTTGAGTGCATGAAGTGTTTCTCATCCATCTTAATACTCCAATGCCAAAAGCAGTTCTGGACACATCTTTTAGACACAGGTTGCTAAAGGGGAGGATACAAAATGCATTGGAGCCAAGGGTGTCCAAGAAACATCCCTCCGCAGAGCAGGCTTTACCTACCTCAGAATTATTAAACTCTGATACTCTGCTTTCTAGCTTTCTGATTTCCTAAACTATTATATTCACTCTCTCAGCAGTGTGACTATGGCTGATTGCTCCTTTTTGAATTCCAGAACAACCATCTCCAGTCCATGGCTCACTTTGGATTCTGTAGCCCCGGTTCCTCTGCTTTCTCTTCAGTGCTGACATCCCCTGAGGGTGTCCTGACCTTCTCTCATCTCTCTTACCCATTCATCGTCGTAATGAAATTGATTTCTGTGTCTTCACCTACCTCCTAAATATCGAAGACTCATAGGACTATAGCGCCACCTATTCTTTTCTCCTTGGCTTTCGACCAGTATATTCCACTGTCCACAATGTCCTCTCCAGGGATGACGATTGATGCTCAATCTCAGTACTACCAAGCTGAGCTCCCCATCTCCTCCTTGTGCGTGTGCTTCCCCTCTGTGCCCACTGTCTCAGGGGAAAGAACCACGAGCACCTCATTATATAAGCCAAAGATTCGGTGGTCATCCTAGAATCTTCCTTTTCCCTAAACTCCTTTATCCAATTAGTGTCCAAAGACTATTGATTCTGTCTTCTAAATATCTCTCTAATCCATCCTCTCATCTTGGCTTCAATACACCATAATCTTTTTTTAAGCTCCTGTTTCAGTCTTAGCTGTCCTCAAATGGGCCCTCCTGATGTTGCCAGAGATAAATTCTAAAATTCAAATCTTCCAGATAGGAAGATTGCTTATGCTTGCCTCCCTATTGTCTTCAAGGTAAAAATCAAAACTCTTCTGAACTCCTAAAAGTCTCTTCTGATCTGGCCCTGGCCTACATCTCCAGCCTCACTTCACATTATACTTGAATCACATTCAACCACCAGTCATTGAGGTCTAGGCATAGTTCTCAGAACATCATGTCTTCTGTGGTCCTTGGTACTATTGCATCCCCAGTATGGGACATGCATTACAATGCTGACAGGCCCAGGAGTATTCTGTGACCTCTTCTCTCTGTCATTAGGCTGCATTATGTCCCTTCTCTGTGTTCTCACGACAATCTGTGCCTATTTCCATCACACACTGTGTACTATTTTCATTCTATTCCATTGTTGCTCTACTGCACTTCAACAACTGGTGGAGGACACTACGTCTTTTGTCCTCTAGCTCTTAGCAAGGGGCCTGGCACCTAAAGACACATAGCAGAAATTCAATATATGTGCTCTGAGTAAATGTTTTTAAAAGTCAAGTGGTTGGTGAGAGAAAAACTCTGATAGGGATGGGTTGAGGATTTGAATCAAATAGTATCTCAGACAGAGATAGCAAACTTCAGCTCCATTAAGATGTTTCCAGAAACCTTATCCCAGCTTTGCCCATGGATGGCCTCACTGTGATTACCAAATGTGTTCTTCAACTCACTGTCTTTGGGGCTGGAGTCCAGGTTCTCAGTTGGGAGCGATCCCAGCCCCTCCGTGCTCCTTGGCATTCTCTCTGCACCCTCCACAGGGTGATTCCTGTTTTCTACCTTTCCTTGTAATCATGCCTTCTTCGCTTCATCTTTTTAACTGAAAACTCTGTGAGGGCCAGGGCTACTTCTAATTCACGTTTATACTCTCCCTGGGGCATAGCAGAGTGCTTTGCATTTCTGAGGTCCTCAATAAATATTTGCAGAATGAATGAAAGAATAAATAAAATAAATTTTAAAAATTACTCTTGCTTTCTCTCTCAGGCCTATTACTCCCCTGTAGACAATGTCAACTTTATGGCTGGCTCATTTTAATGAGTTTCGTTTCAAGTGTTTTCAACATAACCCAATATGGTTTCTTTTCTTGCGTTCAGCTTGCATATTGGTTTATTGATCAGGGTGCTGAAGTCTGATCCTCACCTCACGTTTTATTAGTGTTTATAGGTCTAGCTAAGAACACCTTGCTGAGCCATGATCTTGTTTTCTTACTGGAATTTTAACACTTCACTAGGTCTATTATCCAAACGTACCATGCCTCCCAAGGTGCTGGATGGAGAATGGGTATGTAAAAATAATCCTTTAGCAATAGAAAGCCTTAGATTCTAACCTAATCAACTGTGAAAGACAACATTAACAAAACTTGAGGATGAAATAGAGTTAGGAGTCAGCACTAAAAATAAATGCAATTAGAACATGAGTGCTCCATCCATTTTCAGGGGGAAAATATGTTTTCCCTTTGAAAGCACTTTCACTACCCACATGGTTTTTCAGAATGAAATATTACTTCATAAATGCTGCAGCCATCATTCCCACTCTGGTAACTGCTCTGTAAAGAGAAATAGTGTTTTGTCTGTGGCAGCGTTTGGAAGAGCCTATTTTTGGTTAAAATATAAATGTATAAAAGCAATCAAATGTAAAAGAAATTATTTAGCTTTTCCCCACTTCAAGACGAATGGTTGCCTACTCTCATCACCAGGGAAATCAAAACCAGAGCATTTCCCTGATGACTATTATTTATGTTCATTTATTTTAAAGTCAATGGGAGTCCTCTCTTATGATGCTGTGTGAACTGTAAATATTTGAGATAACAATCAAAAATCTCACGTATTCATTTCTTCATTCGGACATTCTTGAAATCTGTTCAGATATTTGATGTTTACTATGATAAGTAATAAATAAAATCCCCCCCAAAATTTCTCTACCTCCAGAAAACTCGTATTCAGGTTGGGCAAAGGAACATGTGACAATATATTGCAACAAAATATGATAAATTTTATCATAGGTCACTATGAAAGATGCTAAGGGAGTACAGAGAGGAAGGAAACTCAAGCAAGACTCCAAGGGGAAATGACATCTCAGCTAGGTTTTGCAGTGAAATAGGAGTTTTCCATACAAACACATGTAGGAAAGGCAATCATGCTAGAAGGAACAGCATGTACAGTCACAGAAGTATAAATGAAAATGTCATCTCGGTTGTTTGGCATGGCTGGATTTCAAATTTTAGCAGTGCCTGTGTGAGCTTTTCTTTTTGAATTCATGATAGTACTTGCAAAATAGAATAATATCCATTTATTTCTGAGAGCATTTATGTGTAATCATACTTAGCCATTGGGTGTTTCAAGGGCAATCTCTGTAATTACAATCAGTACAACACGGGGCATATCCTAGATCAGTTGCATTAGCAGAGGGACGCTGCCGGGAAAATGCTGGCAAATCTTTCGGGCAAGGGCACAGCAGGGGAGGCACTTACCTTGGTGCAGACTGTGGGGTCCGGTCTCTGACTCCCAAATTCTTCGCTGTGTTCTGAACTCTTGCTCCCTGAAAGTCAGGAAAATCATTTTTATCCCTACAATGTGTTAGTAATCATTTAACACACCATTAACATCTATGTGTAGGATACTTATTCCAACAATGTCTTTAACTTCAAGGGAGATTAGCCAAGAGAAAGACAGATATCGCCGTCAGAGCATTTTCAAAATTAATGCTTTTAATAAAAAATGTGCTGTTATGTTGCTTTGTCTTTATTCCTAGAAGCAATCAATACTTCAGATGTTGAAAACAGGTCAGGCACAGTGGCTCATGCCTGTAATTCCAGCACTTTGAGTGGCCAAGGTAGAAGGATTACTAAAGCCTGGGAATTCAAGACCATCCTGGGAAACATAGTGAGACTGTCTCTAAAAAAATACAAAAATTAGCCAGGCATGGCTACTCGATTGTGGTCCCAGGTACTCGAAAGGCTAAAGTGGGAGGATTGCCTGAGCCTAGGAGGCTGAGGCTACAGTGAGCTATATTTATGCCACTGTACTCCAGCCTGGGAGACAGAGTGAGACCCTGTCTCAAAAAAAAAAAGAGAAAAAGAATAAAAATAAATAAAAATTTTAAAAAGATGTTGAAAATAGTAAATGAGCAGACTATAAATACCTGCTCTGTGTTACCACTTTTCTGGAACAGAAATCACAGTTTTATCACACCTGGTTTTTTTCTTACCTGAATCATTAACTATTTTAAGTTTACTAGTACATAGCAAAAAAATATTTTCTTAACTACTTCTGAAGCAATTTCTGGACAAGCCACGTCCATGCAGATCTATGAAATCTAGTAATTCTGCCTCAGAGTTTATAATACAATCTACTTTGGCAATGAAAAAGTCTTCACAGTCTATCAAATTCATGAATGAAGTTATAATCACTTTAGTTCCTCATGAAAATTAATTACTACATAGGACCAAATACCAGAGTTTGGGGTTTGGAATAGGTTAAGGAGAGTTGTCCAAAAACTCTGAAACTCTCTCTCCAGCTACTACATTCTGAACTAAGGAAAGAAACAAGATAAAAAGAAGGAAAAAAATAACATATTCTCTCAAAAAGGACGTAAAATAGGAAAACAAATAGGGAAGGCAGTGTGGCATCAAAAAGAAAGTTGGGAAGAAATTTAGGAATTGCAATTATGGACTTAAGAAAAACTATTTTGGCTAATCCAAAAGCAGTTATCTCAACTGACTGTTCACAGACAGTTACAGATAATTGAACTCATTGTTCTGCTCTTTCCCCACTTTTTACCACTGCACTTGACCAGTCTTTAAAAACAAAAACAAAGAAACAAACAAAGAAAACTGTTTATTTTGAAGTAATTTTACACTTAGAGAAAAATACAGACAGAACTGAGACTTTACATACTCCATGTGGCTTCCCCTAACGTTAACCCTTCACTTAACCACAGTATGATTATTAAAACCAAGAATTAACATTGGTACAATATTATCAACTAAACTGCACATCTTATTCAAATTTCTTCATTTTCTCCCACTAAGGTATCTTTTCTGTTCTAAGATCCAACCTAGGATCCCATATTGCTTTTTGCTTACATGTCTCTTTATTCCCCTCCAATCTCTGCCAGTTCCTTAGGTTCTTCCTGCCTTTCATGACCTTAACACTCTTGATAAGTATTGGTCATTACTTTGCAAAATGTCTCAGTTTGGGTGTGTCTGATGTTTGCTCACGATTAGAAACAGGAAATGCACTTGGGGCAAGAAAATCACAGAAGTGACGTCATGCCCTTCTCAGTGCATCCTATCAGGGGATACAGGATGTCGTCATATCTTATCACTGCTAACATTAACTTTGATCACTTTGGTGTCTGCCAGATTTTGCCACTGTAAAGTTACTCATTACTTTTTTTTTTTTCTGTAGTTAATAAATATGTTTGAGGATATACTATGAGACTATGCAATATCCTGTTTCTCTTCAAACTTTCACTCACTGATTTTAGCCTCCGTTGCTGTATCTTGTCTACAACAATAATATTGTTTTGTTATGGACTGGAATTCTGTTAAAAAGAGTAATCTCTTCTCTCTAAATTATTTATTTATTCAAGTATGTATTTAAATCAGTGTGGACTCATAATTATTTTATTCCATGAGATATAATCCAATACTTATTATTATTTTTTTTTTTTTTGCTAAAATTTTTTCAGTTTTGGCCACTGGGAGCTCTTTCTGGTTGTTTCTTGTGCCTTTTTAATATGCTGCCATCATTGTTTAGTACTCCTTTATTTTCTGGCACCTCAAGATGTTCCAGACTTGTCTTTCTTGTCTCATCTGGTAATTTACCACTTCTCCAAGGGGCCCTGGCTATTTTTATTGGGGAATGGTATTTAGAAGCCAAGATTTGGACACTGAGTGAGCTCTTTACTACTGGGAGGATAACTGCAACTAGGCCTTTCCAGCAGGCAGGGCTAATTTACATATACAAACATACTCATACATCTATAGTCATTTCTACATCTATCCATATTTGTATGTGTCTGTGTGTGTATTTATCAGTTCATACTGATACACGTGATTTCAATCCAGTAGCATAGGGTTCATTCCAGATTCCAGCCTTCTTCCTTTCCTTATTTGTAACTTTTTTCTCAGACAGTGAGAAATCAGCTTCTCATTATTTACAATAACTTATTTGTTCATTCCTAGTAACACATAAATCAGAATTCCTAAATCATACCCTGTGAAAAACAGATTTACTAACTAGTGTGCAGTATTTGTGTACAATGCTTTTTGTCTATAGCCTTATAGCATTTCCATTAAGTAGTTCCATTAAGAAAAATGTTTGCTTTCTTAAAAGGTTTCAAATAAAATTGATGCTTGTCATGGTGAAGACATCAGTTGGCACATTTCACTTTAAATTCATCTATATTGTTCATACACTCAACATTCCAGCTACTTGCGTTTTTACACTCTGGCTTATATTGCTCCCTCTACTTAAACACTCTTCCTGCCCCCTTCCTGTCCTGTCGGCATCATATTTATCTCCCAAGTTCCAATTCAAATATCATCTTAGTTAATAACTGATTGGTCACTCACCATATCAGGCACTGTTTTAAGTGCATTAAGTATATTTACTTATTTAATCCTCACAACAACACTATGAAACAAGTACTATTATTATCCTTGTTTTAATACTGATGAAACTAAGTACCAAAGAGGCTAAGAATATTCCCCTGAATCACCCAGATAGTCAACACTGGAGTTGGAATTCAAATTGTGGCTGCTTGGCTCACGAGTCTGTTCTCTTTTATTCACAATAGCAAAGTCATGGAACCAACCTAAGTGCCCATCAACAGTGGGTTGGATAAAAAACGTGGTACATATACACCATGGAATACTATATGCTATGAAAAGGATAAAATCATGTTATTTGTAGCAGGCTGAATGCAGCTAGAGGCTATTATCCTAAGTGAATTAACACTTAAATAGAAAATCAAATACTGCATGTTATCTCTTTTAACTGGGGACAATACAATGAGTATACATAGACGTAAAGATGGAAACGACAGACACTGCGGACTCCAAATGGGGAGAGGAAGGAAGGGGGACAGGATTAAAAAATTATCCATTGGGTATAATGTTTACTGTTGGGGTGATGGGTTCAATAGAAGTCCAAATCCCAGCATTATGCAACGTAACCATGTAACAAACCTGCACATGTATCCCTTAAATCTAAAACTAAACAAAAACTTACTCTGTGCTCTTAGTCCCTATCATAAATTCATGTTCTGCATGAAGCCCTTCTCCAGCTATCCTAGTTAGAATGAAATCATTGAACAAACATCTTTTGGCATTTACTTTGTACTAGGTACTATTTTGAGAAACTGTGATACAAAAATGAGTAAGACTTATCCCAGCCAGGGAGGGACTCAGTCTACTCATTTGCTTCCTGTTCTGAGTCTTGATATGCTGAGGTTAGTTACCCTATAGAGACTTGCTTGCCTGTGCCCGTGACATGGTGATTTTCCTATGCATGTGTCCACCGTGAGATTAGGCAAGGACCACATCGACCTCATGTCTTTGTTCTTAGGGCCCAGTGTGATGCTTAGTGCCCAGTGTGATGCAGGATACTTTGGAATCCCAGTTTTTATTAAAAAGGTTAAGAAGACATTTGTGCCCAGGCACGGCGGCTCATGCCTGTAATCCCAGCACTTTGGGAGGCCGAGATGGGCAGATCATGAGGTCAGGAGATCAAGACCATCCTGGCAAACACGGTGAAACGCTGTCTCTACTAAAAAATACAAAAAGCTAGCCAGGCGAGGTGGCGAACACCTGTAGTCCCAGCTACTCAGGAGGCTGAGGCAGGAGAATGGTGTGAACCCAGGAGGCGGAGCTTGCAGTGAGCTGAGATCCGGCCACTGCACTCCAGCCTGGGCGACAGAGTGAGACTCTGTCTCAAAAAAAAAAAAAAAAAAAAAAAAGAAAAGAAGACATTTGTTCTAGGCTGCCATCAAAGAGCCTAGAAATATATAATTTATGGCATAGAAAAATTTAAATTTATAATGTAAATGACAGTTTCTACTGCAAGCCTTTCATTAATCAAATCAGCTGGTTACATAAAGTGATGCCTAAGGTTGTTATAATCATTAGCAAAACATTGTGAAAGACATAGTACCCTTCTCTTCTGTCTTTTATCTTTCCTTCAAACTCATGCAGTGAGTTAAAATAACAACTCTATGAAAAGTATATACCCAAAATCTGTAGAGGAAAACAATACTGAGATTGTAAATAAGAACAATAAGTCATGCCAAAAAGCTTCTTATTCTCGAATAAACTAAAAAATCTTAGTATTTTCATTATATTATTCATTTATATATTGTAAAACTGTAATAGATACTAAATATTATTATTTAATATATCATCATACAAATTTGATAATGCAATAATGCAACTACTTCAATATATACTGAAGATGACAAGTATCTAACCACTTGGTCTCTAAACAGCTGAGTCTAAATGGTTAAGTAACTGTCCCTGAGGTTGAAAGGTAAAAAGGAGAGAAAATCCAAGCTAGACCTTTCATTCAGACTTGCATTCTAACTGCTCAAACCATAAGTAGGTAAGAGTTGGCTTGTGGATTGGACCTCAGCCACAAATCTCACTGCCTGCTACTGCTGAACACTGGAAGGAGAATCGGCGACAGGAGGACTTTTGAAGAAATCTCTGGGGTCACCAGTCTGCCCAGTTTCCTTAAAAGAGGGTCCCAGGCTCTATGATCTTTCACAAAGAAGTTAAACCTTATTTCTTTGCCTCTCATAGCCATTGGGACGTCACAACTTGGGGCAGAGGAACAAGTAACAATGGAAGAAAGCTACCTATTCCAAATGTATTCAGTTTTTTAAAAAATTTGGGGGAAGAACAAGTGATATATACTGACAAAATAGTGAGGTTTATATATCAACAGGAATTTTATAAGGAATCCCATGACTTTTCAAATTATACTATACTTATATACAACAATATAATAATACTATATAAATACAATTTACATTGTATTTTAAAGAGCTTTACACCAGTTAAGTGAGTCATTGGGGCCTACATAATATCAATATTACTTTATCTCTATTTTCTCTATTTCCATTTTTAGTTTTAAAAAGTTAAAGTATTCGATATGATTATGACTATTCAAATCTACAAGGTAGAAATGGATATGTCACCAACTCATAACTACCTCCTTAGTGGAATATTCTAAAAGAAAGTAAATTCCACTTTCTTTTGCTTGTCATAAGCTATAATTTTGAGATGGCCCTTCCCAAGTCTTCCCACAAACCTACTCTAATAAGCAACATGATCAAACAGAAAGTTGATTTCTTTCTGTACTTCTTAGCAACTTAAATCTCAACTGTGATATGAATAATCATAAGTTTACCTGGATCTACTTTTTGAAACATAATTTGTATATATATCCAAAAAGTCCTTCCTAAATCTTCTGGCAAATCACATCTGTGTTTATCCTTTCCAGCTGGCCCACAGTACGTCACATGCTAGTTCCAACCTTTACTTAACAAATCTCTCTTAGACCTTCTAAGATCTTGGTTTTCAATCTTCAGCTCCTGAGCCCTAACCAGAAGTACCAATATGTTCTCCCTGTGCCTGATCTCTGCATTGAAGACACCAGCTTGATGTTGGCCTCTTCAGTTGATTTTTTCATGGGCTTTGTCGGCATTCTGCAATACAGTCTTGGGAGCAAGCCCAGAGGGATTTATATGTTTGCCTGAGAGTTAGACACTAAGCTTCCAATAAACAAAGTAGTCATAATTACAAAGCATATCTTAAAAACTAAATCACTCACTGTCACTGGGCAACTCAAACCAAATCAGCAAGTAGAGAAATTTGTTAAATCAATTTATTGTGGTTGCCCAAAGAAAAGGTGGTAGAATAACATATAAAATTTGTGTCTTTTGATTTGTCTTTCTGTAGGTTATCTTTTCTGCTAGATTAAGCACATTTTCATAATTAGTAAATTGGAGCTTAGTGCATTTTTAAAAATAACTTTAAGAGTTAAAAACTAAACCACCACACTTAGAATACTATTGGGCTACTGTATAGAATAAAGTTCATTCTATTTATAAGAGAGTATATTCTCGCCTGTAAGTACTCCAATGACCCGAAGACAGTCCAAAGACTGCTATTTATCCCCTAAAGGAAAATTCGAGGTAAGTGCTTTATCCTTGGATTAATGTACACGCTGAGTATGGCATGAAAGTCCCTTGGCATCACCAGGAGCCAGCAGGACCCTCAATTCTTTCCTCTTCTTCCTTGCCCCTATCCCTCTCTACCTCAAGCTTTACCACTAACAATTGCCAAAAAATGCCATATGTGCTTTTACTTATTCCTTACATAAACGCCAAATTCACTGCTACTTTATTCCACTTAGTTAAGTCCCTTTCTGCCTGCAGATTACTGCATAGACATCCCTTTTTCCAGAGTTCTCTAAGATTCTTGCAGAACCTCAGACTGGTGCCTGCAGCATCTTCTCCCTGGGAGCATTTCTCATTCATGAGTTACCTTTGAGCCTAGTAAACTGTACATCACATCCAGGCACCTGTCAGACCCCTGATAAATGAACAAAGGAATCTTCAAGTCCAGGGCCTACAAAACAACTCTTCTCAAGTCTCCATGAGACCTACCTGCTTCCGCATCACATCTGTAGCCTGCATGATGTAGCGAGGTGGCAATCCGTGGCTTCTGGCCAAAATGATGGCTTGCTCCAGCGTCACGCTCAGGGTGCACCTGGGGGTCAAGGCAAGGGCAAGTCAGACCCCATGATTCCTGATACACCCTTTGAGATGATGTGGATTACTAATTGCAAAATCAGAAGGCACCAGCCAAAATAAAAGTGGCTAGACAACGAACCGCTGATTTTTCTACATAGAACACCAGTTTAAAAATAGATTATAAAGGTACACTACTGGGGTCAGAAATCAAGTATTTAAATTTAAAACAAACCCATGATGAACTATGTTTATAAGAGCACTTATCTACAGAAAATTAAATAACCAGAATTAGAACAAGTTTTATTACTGAGTATTATTCTTTAATGATATTTCATGTAATTTAGAAGAAATGACTAAAGAATATTTATCATTAACTTCTAGATATTGATAATTAATAGATTTATAGTGATTTATGCACAAATGTTGTAGAAGAATAAACAGCAAAATTACTATTTATTGAGGTCAGAATTGATTTTATTAAATGTGTTTATTGGACCCAATCTAAAAGCGCATTTGTAAAAGTTCCAAAAAGAACTCGTAACTAGTTATATAGAAATGTGATACCCAGAGTAGCCCTGAGAGAAGTATTCTAACCAGCATTTAGTGACTAGTGAGTCTTTGTTCTTTTCTTTCTCTCTCTCTCTCTTTTTTTTTTTTTTTTTTGAGACGGAGTCTTGCTATGTCACCAGGCTGGAGTGCAGTGGCGCACTCTCAGCTCACTGCAACCTCTGCCTCCGAGGTTCAAGCGATTCTCCTGCCTCAGTCTCCCAACTAGCTGGGATTACAGGTGCGTGCCACCACACCCAGCTAATTTTGTGTTTTTGGTAGATACGGGGTTTCACCATGTTGGCCAGGATGGACTCCCAAAGTGCTGGGATTACAGGCGTGAACCACTGTGCCTGGCTGTTCTTTTCCTTCTCTTTAAGGCATTCTTTTATGTTCTTCCACATTGATCTCAACAGTACCCCTTAAAGCCTATGTTTATTTGTTAACATTTTCAGGTGCTGGTCTCTGCATTGTTCTTTTAAGAGTACCTTTTGCATGCATTTCATAAAAACTGTCAATTTTAGATGTTTCTCCTAAAATTGTATTAATGGATTTTGTTTTACTTGTTTTTTTTAACATATTCATATTTTAATTAGCCTTTTCTTTATTTTTGCATTTACCTCCCTGTAGTTTGTTGTTTTATTTGTGTATTCTCCTAGATCTGTCTAGTATTTTTCCCTGCAAATAAAAGTAAGTTCTACAGTGCAATTGTTTCTATGGGAGAAATATCTAACTCATTGGTTATGAGGCTGTAACACGGAAGTTCTTGGTTATGAGGCTCTAACACAGAAGTCCAATGCATTTGGTAGGTTTTGACACTGATAATTAAGAAAAAGAGGAGACAGGGATTTAAAACATTACTGTTGTAATATCAGAACCTCACAAAGTGCAACTGTGTGATTACACATAACTGCATTCTAAGGAGAAATACGTAAGTTCCATTGGCTGTTAAATGACTCAAGAGGCAGCTTTCTCATTATCATTGCAGAGAATTCATTATTATTATTAACACATGTCCAGGTGGGCTAAAGTTTCATTATTAAGTTCTAGTTGTACATGATGTTCACAGACTTTCAGTGTGTGAGTCTGATAACAATGCATATTGTTTTACATGTACACGTGAGCCACAGAGCAGTCTAGGCCAATGAAGGCCAAGCAGTATAACTAACAGTTCATGTTTAAAATATCAGTTTTCCGCCGGGCACAGTGGCTCATGCCTGTAATCACAGCACTTTGGAAGGCTGAGGCAGGTGGATCACAAGGTCAGAAGATTGAGATCATCATGGCTAACATGGTGAAACCCCATGTCTACTAAAAATACAAAAAATTAGCTGGGCGTGGTGGCGGGTCCCTGTAGTCCCCACTACTCGGAGGCTGAGGCAGGAGAATGGCGTGAACCCGGGAGGCGGAGCTTGCAGTGAGCTGAGATGGTGCCACCGCACTCCAGCCTGGGCGACAGAGTGAGACTCCATCTCAAAAAAAAGAAAAAAAAATTAGTTTCCTACAAAGCATTTAATTGCCAGTTTACTCAACAGAGCGTAACCTTTTTCTCCTCCTTAAGGTCTCCTCCACTCCAATTTTAAATGTTTATTGATCCTAACATTTTAATCAATAATGCTCATTACACCAGCTGAATGAAGCCAAGGGGTGAAAAAAAATCTTTATCTTTTTCTCGTCATGCTGAAATATGTCTGTGCTTTACTGATAAAGTATAGCTTGCTCTATTTCTTGTGTACTCGCTTATAAACAAGACCTACACACTGTGAAGGGTTTTTAATAGACAGTCAACGATTATTATTCATTTTCTTAATCCTTTTAAACTGATTTCTTTCTCCCTACTTCAAGTTGTAGTAAGCAGCAGTACAGCAGCAAATTACCCGCCAGAGATTTTAAAAGATTTTACTGCAATCAGGAAGTGAATGTGCCCAGGAACACGCTCTCTGAAAGGACACCTCAAAGTATGACTTGCAATCAATCACATATCACCTAAGAGAAAAGTCTACCTTCAAATGGATATGTATATTCTCTTTCCCCAGCATTTCAAAAACAGATGGTTGCACCTTTATTTGTCTTTTCGTGCTAACCATCATGTATCTTCCAATTAGGCCCCAAAATTAATTTGAAATGTTAAAAAAGTAAAAAGTGTTAAAAAGAGGCAGTCACATAAAGGTGGGAAATAGTGCCTGTAATTTGAATCATGGCTGATGGGTCCAATCAAGGCCTTGTATTTCCACTCACAGCATCACAGAATTCCATTTTCCTAAACTAAGCATGCAGAAGAAAGCCCCTCAGGAAGGCCGCCACTCTTCTGTTAGTATACCATTATTTGCCCAGTAGCTTTTCATCTTCTCCCAACTGTCTCAATTTGAATGTCAAGTGGAAAAAACCAGCATCTGCAAGAAACATTCTGATGTTGGCATTCTCTGATGGACTCCAGGTCCAGAAGGTGGCACACCATTTTTCAGTGGTACATAAATAAATACTCAGAGGCAGGTTTACAAGAGCTCATTTGATTTTATAGGCACTTTCTAATGACCAGAGAGACTGATATGCTAGCCCTGGGCAAGAGAAATAAAGGAGCATATTAAAGGCCAGGAACCCTCATTCAATACGAGGTTTCTCTTTTTTTGGAGACAGGGTCTCACTCTGTTGCCCAGGCTGGAATGCAGTGGCGTCATCTCAGCTCACTGCAGTTTCAACTTCCTGGGCTTGGGTGATCCTCCCTCCTCAGCCTTCCAAGTAGCTGGGACTACAGGAATATACCACCACATCCAGTCAACTTTTGTATTTTTTGTGGAGATGGGTTTTCACTGTTTTGCCCAGATTTGTCTTGAACTCCTTGTCTCAAGTGATTCACCTGCTTCAGCCTCCCAAAGTACTGGAATTACAGGTGTGAGCCACCAGGCCCAGCCCAATACGGGGTTTCTTACCTGATGCCCCAATCTTCTTTTTAACATGAACTCTGTTTTACAATTAAACTAAAATTTGAATAAATCTATATTTTTACCCCACCTGGAAAATATAGGTCTTCAATTTTTCAGCTCCTTCTACTACAACATCACTTAAAAAATATTCACACAATTCTTTCCCTAGAAGCCACAAAATAATGAAATAAATGCCACAGAGTAGTATTTGTCCTTCATAAAAAGGCAATTGTAACATAGGCACTGAAAAAAGTTTGTCCATAATTTTAGTAAAAAGACATCCCAACTAATGGCTCTGCTATGAGTATACATGTGAGGAAGCACACTTGATAGGGTAGCAAAGTTACATAGAAATGTTTAATTTCCCCATAGGAAGAAAAAGGAAAAGGTCAATATATCTGTGCTTATAATTAATAAATCTCCTTGACATATTTTGAACTGAGAACAGATCCCAAACCACTCAGTTATTGAGCACAGTTTTCATATGATAAATGTAACCTACAGTTAATGGGTTCCATTTAATTTGAAGGACACTTTGATTCAGCAATGCTAAGGAAGACGTATTAAAATGTATTTTATTGCATGATTCTTTCTTTCATTTATCAGTTTGCCAAACATTTTTTGACTGTCTACTTTGTACCTACAAATACCATAAGTTGCTGGCAGGAGTGGATTTACTGTGGAGCTACAAAAGCTTGGGTTTCAAGGCCCCTTACTTGTACGAATCCCTTTCCAGGTTCTGTGAGGGGCGTCAGCACTGTGTTCACATAGTCACATACCTTTACAAATGTGCAAAAGCAAAATGTTTTAACTGCAAATGACATAGCTGCTGTCTTCTTTACAACCCAGCTTCCTTCTGTAATGTTGGGTAGTGTCCAATTGGCTGTGGTTACTTTTGAAACCGAGCTGAAGAAAGTTGAGTTGGGCACTTTGGAAGGCCGAGACGGGTGGATCACGAGGTCAGGAGACCGAGACCATCCTGGCTAACACGGTGAAACCCCGTCTCTACTAAAAAATACAAAAAAACTAGCCGGGCGAGGTGGCGGGCGTCTGTAGTCCCAGCTACTCGGGAGGGTGAGGCAGGAGAATGGCGTAAACTGGGGAGGCGGAGCTTGCAGTGAGCCGAGATCCGGCCACTGCACTCCAGCCTGGGTGGCAGAGCAAGACTCCGTCTCAAAAAAAAAAAAAAAGAAAGTTGAGTTGGGATGCATTCAGGCTAGATTTGCTGGGACCTATTTATTGGACAATAATTACTTTCATTGATGGCTGGGTTATTGTAGTATTCTGTGTAGAAATGGCATCTAGAGTATTCCTACTGCCCATTGCACACAATCACCCAATGCTGGAAAAGAGGTGCAGGACCAGAGGTCATGATGTAATACACCCATATCCTGAGGCCCCCAGGATGGGAAATGTGTATGTTCTGGTGGACAAAAGGGTTGAAACTATACAGCCAGAAACTACTCTGTGGCATAGTCTTTCAAATTTATGGTTCATAGGCTAAAGAAACTTAGAGATGTTTTCTTTTCTTTTCTTTTTTTTTTGC